CTTCTTAGAAGTATTTCAGGATTGTTTTTTGAAGCAGTTTGTGACAGAACCTACAAGGGGAAATAACCTGCTTGACTTAGTTATGGCAAACAATGAATCCCTTGTTAATAATTTAGAAATTTCAGAGGAACTGGGTGCTAGCGACCACAAATCAATTACATTTAGCATTGAATGGAAGTACGATAGTAGCGATAACTCAGTAACAGTCCCAGATTTTCGCTTAGCAGATTACGATGGGCTTAAAGAACACTTATCATCTGTTGACTGGGGTAACGAAGAGAGCTATCAATATGACAGTTTTCTGAACACTATACATGCGCTCAAAGAGCGTTTATCCCATATAAAGAAATTAGATCAAATAGAAATGACCCAAAATGGATGAATAATAGGCTCAAATATCTACTAGGGCATAAGAAAGGAATTTATAGGCGTATCAAAAGAGGTGAGGGTCATCTTATGAATCAGTATATTGACATTAAGAGGGACATTAAAAAGGGATAAGAAAAGCTAAAAGGGACTATGAAATTAAAGTTGCTAGGGATTCTAAAACTAACCCAAAAAGTTTTTTCCAGGTCTATAGAACAAAAGTTAGAGATAAGAAAAGGTCCCCTTAAAAATAACTATGGGCACCTTACTGACAATGAGAATGAAATGTGCTTGATTTTAAATAATTATTTTCTCTCAGTTTTTACACAGGAAGACACTAACAATATTCCAGTAATTAATTTTTACAGTGGGCTAGAAGAAGATAAATTATGTAACATCACAGTCACTAGTGAGATGGTTTTTGAGGCAGATAGACAGACTGAAGCAAAATAAGTCCGCCGGGTCCTGATGAGGTTTTTTCAAGGGTTCTTAAGGAATGCAAAATGGAACTCTGTGAACCATTAACTAATATTTTTAATTTATCTCTTCAAACAGGTGTAGTGTCTGATATGTGGAAGATGGCTAATGTAATTCCTATTTTTAAAACAGGGGACAAGTCGTTACCCCTCAAATTACCGCCCAATAAGCCTGACCTCAATTGTAGCAAATTACTAGAGTCAATTAAAAGCTGAGATTATAAGAAGCCATCTCGATAAGCATAGCTTGATTAATGATACTCAGCATGGATTCACAAGAGGCCGGTCTTGTCTAACTAATTTATTAACTTTCTTCAGTAAAGCTTTTGAGGCTGTTGACCACAATAAAGAATTTGATATTATTTACTTAGATTTAGTAAGGCTTTTGATAGAGTTCCGCACCATAGACTGTTAAAGAAAGTGCAGCCCATGGCATTGGGGGAAAAGTGCTCTCGTGGATCGAGTCATGGCTCACTGACAGGAAGCAGAGAGTGTCCATAAATGGGGTTAAATCCGAGTGGGGATCTGTAACAAGTGGCGTTCCACAGGGATCAGTCTTGGGCCCGTTGTTGTTTATAATATATATCAATGATCTTGATGAGGGAATTACTAGTGATATGAGCAAATTCGCCGATGACACAAAGATAGGTAGGATAATTGATTCAAACGTAGATGTTAGGGAACTTCAGAGGACTTAAACAAACTCTAAATTTTTGGTCAGAAAAGTGGCAGATGCAGTTCAATGTAGATAAGTGCAAGGTTCTGAAGCTTGGGAGTGCCCATAACCCTAGTACTTATAAATTAAATGATGTAGAACTTAGCCATACAGATTGCGAAAAGGACTTGGGGTTATGGTGAGCAGCAACCTTAAACCAAGACAGCAATGCCTAAGCGTACGTAATAAGGCAAATAGATTACTGGGATTTATATCAAGAAGTGTAAGCAACAGAAGTCCAGAGGTCATACTGCAGCTTATACATCATTAGTAAGGCCTCACCTTGATTATGCAGCTCAGTTCTGGTCTCCGTATTACAAAATGGACATAAATTCGTTAGAAAACATTCAGCGTAGGATGACTAAATTTAAAATACATAGCATCAGAATCTTCCTTATGAAGAAAGATTGAAGACTCTTAAGTTACATTCACTTGTTAGACGAAGAATGAGGGGAGACCTGATCGAAGTGTATAAGTGGAAGATAGGTATTAAAAAAGGGATATTAATAAGGTCTTGAGGATGTCTCTCCAAGAGAGAACCCGCAGTAATGGATTTAAATTAGATAAGTTTAGATTTAGAAAGGACATAGGAAAGTATTGGTTTGGAAATAGGGTAGTTGATGAGTGGAATAGTATACCTAGTTGGGTTATTGAGGCTAGGACTTTGGGTAGTTTCAAATCTAGGTTGGATAAGTACATGAGTGGGAAGGGTTGGATTTGAGTGGGACTTTCACATCAGAGCTTATTTCTTGGGTAGCATTGAAAATTGGGTTGGGTAAATGTTTTGTTAGTGGGATGAATTGTAAAGGACCTGCCTAGTATGGGCCAGCAGGCCTCCTGCAGTGTTCCTCCTTTCTTATGTTCTTATGTTCTTATGGAAGGCACTGGAGCCCGATATTTAGGTTTAAGGAGAAATGACGGGTAAGGAGGCTTTGCACCAGAGAGCGACTATTATGCTGGCCAACTGCCAGGTGTACTGATTATGCTGCCTTGTGGTAGTTGAGGAAATATATGTAATTGAATAATTTTGTATTATGAATAATTTTGTCTTTGTATTGTAATAGAATTAAGGGGTTAGGATTAAAATAGTCTAATAACTAGGACAAATTGTCCTAGTTCTCAGATATTTTAAATTGGGGGAGAAAGGGGGATGTGATGTAGTCCAGCTGGGCTTGTGAGGTCTCTGGGGAGACCTAATTTAGCCTGCACTCTGAAGGAGGGGTGTTAATGTTGCAGTTTAAAAACTGTAGTGTAAAGCACCCTTCTGGCAAGACAGTGATGGAGTGAATGATGGTGAAAGTTTTTCTTTTTCGGGCCACCCTGCCTTGGTGGGAATCGGCCGGTGTGATAATAAAAAAAAAAAAAAAAAAAAAAAAAAATACCTTGCCTTGGCAAACGTCTGTAGCCACGCCCACGTCTGAGGTCTTTTGTTCTTGACGGCATCAGACCTAGGCGTCAGGTCGTACACGTGGTTGTGGAGGGAGCTTGGACCACCATAAAAGCCCAAGGAAGAGCATGATCAGGAGATTCGAGCGGAGCTGCTGCTGGGGTGCAGAGCTCCTGAGCAGAGATTCGAGTGGAGCTGCTGCTGGGGTGCAGAGCTCCTGAGCAGAGACTTCGAGCGGAGCTGCTGCTGGGGTGCAGGGCTCGGGAGAAGGCTGCTGAAGTCTCTGGAGGAGACTGTTGGAGGCATTGGGCAGAGTACTGGCTTGGCGCAGTACTCGTGCTGTGTAGGTCTTGGGACCTGTGGCTTAGTTCCTGTGATGAACTGCCCTCTGAACTATATTGTAAGTTACATTCATTTTGGTCAAGTTGATTGTGTTCCCTGTCTCACTGCTTATGTGTACCACCCCATTTATCTAAACCACAATAATGTTCTCCTGTTCCCAAATATATTATTGTACAAGGACTTAATAATAAACTGTGTTTGAGTAGAATAGTAATATTCACTGTTCCCATTATTAGCTATTCCTATTTCTCATATTTTATTATGTTTATGTGAGTGAAGAGTGGGCGAGGCATATGTTAGTGAGTAGTGTAGAGTTAATGAGAGTGTCGTGGTGGTCACCACTGACCTGTCATTACCTACCTACCTCCGCATACCTCACTCCTACCACCTCGCCTGTCCCCTACCTACTGACTCCCTCCGCTTACCCCCATATTCCCCTAATCATTCCCCCCTACATGACAATGGTACATTGTACCATATGGTACAGGGACCCTAATGGAAATAAGTCTGTCTGACTTTTTTGGGTTATCCTACGTTCTCCAAACATATGCTGCTAAGTATGATATTCTATGCAACTTTATTTGTGTATACATGTACATTTTTGTGTATACATGTACCATATGGTACAATGTACCATATGGTACAATGTACTATATGGTACATGTACCATATGGTACAATGTACCATATGATACATGTACCATATGGTTCAAAACCACAGTATTCCTCTTCAGCTCCACTTCCATCAGTCTTAGAACTGTAAGTTGTGAAGAGGAGAGTCAGAATTCGCCCGGAGAGTGAGAGCTTCCTAGCCGCCAGGCATGAGGAACAAAGCTACTTTGGCGGTGTTCCCACAATGCCATGCGGGCGTCCAGATTTTTTCTATAGTGTGCACACTGATCACCCAGACCCATTCTCTCAGATGTAGGCCTATCAGCCTTCTCGCGCTAAATTTGATGCTGCTAAAATTTTGGCGTAGATCTACGGTTTGGACCCTGAACGTAAAGCCGTAGATCTACAAGACGGACCCTGAAAGGGTTAATCATAGTAGCGACACAAGATTATCCCTTCACTTTCTGTTTACTTACTATACTTTCCACACTTTAATATCAATCATTAACACATTCAACATTTGTGTATATACAGCTAGGGTAAGCAAATGACTGTCAATGGTATAGCAATGTGTAGTTACAGCAAAATTAGCAGTTACTAGCCTTCTTGTATGGGCTTTTAGCTAATTTTCCCCTAAAGTTGCACCATCATAAATGAATTTCATGGAGTGAATGACTGAAAATATGTAGCAATTTTGCAATAGTCGTATATCAAAAATGTTACAGAAGATCACATTTTAATTGACAGTCTACTGTACTTATATTTTTTATGCTGGAATTTGAAGTTATAACAAAAATGCTGGCATCCTGAAGGACTGCAAATCATATAAAAAATGAAGTGGAATTTCCCAAGGCAGCAACCCCAAGAAAGTGAATTATTAATAGCCAGTATGAAAGATGCAGCAAGCATGTTGTAAGCACTCTAGTATTACCACCCTCCCCTTTTTTTCCCATCGGATTTGCACGATTCACATGGGATAGCCAGGGCACCCTAAAAGACAATTTTGGCAAAACTGGTACAACATATCCCCAAAAGAGAGAAATTTGACTGTTGTGGCACCTATTAAAATAATGGAAAAAAAGTATTATTGAAACAACTCTTACTTTGTCAGTAAAGACGTCCCATATTTCAAGGATTGTAGACACTGAACAGCTTTCTCATCAGGATACTGGACCATATTGAGAGCTTTCTCAAATAATTTGAAATGAGTGATGCCTTCATGGACCTAAAATATAAATTGTAGGATATAAATAATGAACTACCAAAAGTAATACATAATGGATTTAACTTTCTAATAAGAGAACTTCATATTTTAAGTGGTCCCCAAATTCTCCCACTAAGGGCTCCCTTTCACACACACACATGCACACAAAAATCACATTCACCTTGTTTCATTTAATAACTTTTTCCACGTGTATGGGCATCACAATTTAAATGACCCTTCAAATTACCAACATCCATACCCCTCCTTCAGTGTGCAAGGACTGTACATTAATTCTCACATATTGAACTCAAGTTTAGTTAACTGGTTTACTCGAATCCCTTCATAAGTGTTACCTTGCTCACACTACAACAGCACCTTAGATCCTTAACCCTTTCACTGTCAAGACCCCTGCTCACAAACTTGCTCACAGTGTTGAAGAATTAAAAAAAAAAAAAAAAAAATCTTATGAAATGAGAGAGAATCTTTTCCCAATGGTAAAAGACACCAAAAGTATGAAATCTGATGGAAAACTTACGGAATTACGCTTTCACGAACTTAGTGGTCTCGGTGATATTTATGCATTGGCGATTTAGCCCACTTTGAGCCCTATTTTCGGCAATTTCATTGTTCCGGTTGACCAAACTCATAGCTATTTCACTAGAACTCCATTTGTTCTATCGAATGAGTACAAGAAACCGCCCATTTACCGATTTCAACTACCCAATAAGTGATCAGACATTGGTAATTTGGCCAATTTCATACACAATTCAAGTAAGGCCAATTTCAAAACAGGATCCAGAATTAACAATTCAGACATTCTTAGCACTAAAATAACATTTTCTCTATTCATTAGTCACGTCTCCAGGCCCCTCTTATATTATGCTTGCTTTCCATTTTGAAATTTTTTTTCACACAAAAAATAGATTTACTGTTATGCAGACTATTGATTATTGTAAAAATGGTATAAATAATATCAGCACATTTGTGAAAGCATATTTGACCCACCAGCTGATGTGAACTGGACACGTGATGTGATTTGTTCACTCTTGAACATCGTCAAAAATTGAACATTTCTTCTACTCTGAGCTCATTTTCAAGTTACTTTTAGTCTGTAAACCACTCAAAATCATATCATTTTTTGTAACATATCTCCCCATTCTATCAAATGAGACCAAGAAAATGAGAATACAACCATAAATACAATGGACCCCCGCTTTACGATCAGCTCCCAATGCGACCAATTATGTAAGTGTATTTATGTAAGTGCGTTTGTACGTGTATGTTTGGGGGTCTGAAATGGACTAATCTAATTCACAATATTCCTTATGGGACCAAATTCGTTCAGTAATGGTACCTGGAATGAAATAATATCGTAAACTGGGGGTCCACTGTACCATACAAAAATACACTGCAAAGTTGGTGTTTTAAACCAAAAACACGGTCTCAGTTTTTTCTCATTCACTGCATGCTGCAGGATTTTTTTTATACTGCACACACTGACCACCCAAGACCCATTCTCTCATATGTAGGCCTACCAGCTATCTCCCGCAAGATTGGATGTCGCTAGAATTTTGGTGTAGTATTGCAGGACCGACACTGACTTCAAAGCCGTAATATTACTGGACTGACAGTGAAAGGGTTAATGAAATTGAAAGAAAAAAAAAAAATTCTTTTCTTATGCCAAATCCAGGGCAAAAACCACATCCAGTATTAGACTCCAGCTTAAACGAGATGGGACTTACACAGTTGACAGCAAAGAAATGAGTGAGATACTGAAGTCCCAATATGACTCAGAATTTATAATCAGACTAGGAGTCGGCAATCTAAATGAATTTTTTATGACCAAGACTAAAAATATGGTTAACCCTTTCAGGGTTTCCGATGTACTAGTACGGCTTACGCACCAGGGTTATTGACATACTAGAACGCCTAAATTCTAGCGCCTTCAAATCTAGTGAGAGAAAGCTGGTAGGCCTACATATGAAAGAATGGGTCTATGTGGTCAGTGTGCACAGTATAAAAAAAAAATCCTGCAGCACACAGTGATAATGAGAAAAAAAAAAAATGCCGACAGTGTTTTTGGTTTAAAACAGCGACTTTGCAGTGTAATTTTTGTATGGTATTTATGGTTGTATTCTAGTTTTCCTGGTCTCATTTCACAGAATGGAAAACATATTACAGAAAGTGAGATGATTTTGATTGGTTTCATAATGATAAGTACCTTGAAATTGAGCTCAAAGTTGCAGAAATGTTCGATTTTTACCAAATTTCAAAAGTAAACAAATCATGCCAAGCATCCAATGCACGTCAACTGGCGAGTCTAATATTCTTCCACAAGTGCACTGACATTATTTATACCATATCTACACCATTTCTACACTAATGCAGTAGTCTGCATAACAGTAAATCTTCTATTTTTTGTGAGAATAAAAATTCAAAGTGGAAAGCAAAAGAGATGCAAGAGGGGTCTGGGGACGTGACTAATGGACAGAAAAAATGTTATTTTAGTGCCAGGAATGACTGTCTTGCTTATTTTGGACCCTATTTGGAAATTGGCATCGTCTGAAATTTATGTGAAACTGGCAAAATTGCCAATTTCTGACCACTTTATTGGATAGTTGAAATCTGTAAATGGGTGGTTTCTTGTACTCATTCGATAGAAAAAAATGGAGTTCTAGCGGAATAAATATGATTTTTGTTGACTAGTACACTGAAATTGGCCGAAAATAGGGCTCAAAGTGGGCAAAATCGCCAATGCGTAAACATTGTTGAGACCGCTAACTTCGTGAGAGCATAATTCAGCAAGTTTTCCATCAAATTTCATACTTTTGGTGTCATTTTGATCGGGAAAAGGTTCTCTATCATTTCATTAGAAAAAAAAATAATTTTTTCCTAAAAATTTTTGACCCTGAGAACGAGTTTAGGAGAGGGCCTCTTGACCGTGAAAGGGTTAATTCAAGAATGTTGGATATAATCCTAACACCACATGACTTTGAAAAAGCAATAAATGACATGCCCATGCACTATGCCCCAGGCTCAGACTCGTGGAATTGTGTTCATCAAGAACTGCAAGAAACCCCTTTCATGTGCCTTAAATATTCTAAGGAGTAGGAGTATAGACATAGGGGGTCATCCCATATTCACTAAAAACAACAGACATAGCCCAACTCCACAAAGGTGGCAGTAAAGCAATTACAAAGAATTACAGACTGATAGCATTAATGTTCCACATCACAAAAATCTTAGAAAGGGTTCTAAGAAGCTAGATCACTACTCAGTTGCACAACCCAGGGCAGCATGGGTTTAGGGCAGGTCGCTCCTGCTTCTCACAACTACTGGACCACTAAGACATGGTCTTAGATGCTCTGGAGGACAAACAAAATGCAAAAGTAGTACATGTATACATAAACTTTGTGAAAGTCTTTGACAAGTGCGATCATGGTGTAATAGCACACAAAGTGCTTGATAAAGAAATAACAGGAAAAGTTGGTAGATGGTTCTATAACTTCCTAATGAATAGAACACAAAGAGTAACAGTAAACAGAGTAAAGTCAGAGGTAACTACAGTGAAAAGCTCTGTTCCACAAGATACAGTACTCATTCCCATTCTGTTCCTCATCTTCACATCTGACATAGACAGAGATGTAAGCCACAGCACCATGTCCTCCTTTGCCTAAGATACCCAAATATGGATGACTGTGTCATCCATTGAAGACACTGCAAGTCTCCAAGTGGACATCAACCAAATATTTAAATGGTCTGCAGAAAACGATATGAAAATTTAATGAAGAATAATTTCAATTACTCCGATATGGAAAACTTGAGGAAATTAAAACTGTATTGGAGTATAAAACAAATTCCCACCATAAAATATAACGAAAAGCTAATGTGAAGGACCTGGGAGTAACAATGTCAGAGGATCTCACTTTCAAAGATCACAACAATGTATCTACCACATCTGCTAGGAAAATGATAGGACAGATAATGAGAACCTTCAAAACTAGGGATGCCAAGCCCATGATGATTCCCTTGAAATTGCTTGTTCTCTCCAGGTTGAAATACAGCCTCTCTTCACTTAACAACAGAGTTCCATTCCTAAGACTACGAAGGTAAACAAATTTGTCGCTAAGCAACGAGCATACTATAATGGTAGTGAGTTTGTGTCAACTATCTTTTAATGTCGCCGTTGCACCATTTATAACATTTTTAGGATATTTTTAAATGTTTATACAGTAGTGTACTATATGTTGTAATAAACAGAATTGAGGAAATCAGTTCTAATATACATTATTTAGGTATGCATACTGGTCAGACAGCCCATCATAAGTCCGAGTTGTCGGCAAACGAGTACGTCACTAAGTGAGGAGAGGCTGTATTTCTGTACACTAACGGATCTTTTCACTGCAGGCAAAACTGCAGACCCTGGAAAAATTGTACAGAGAACTTTACACAAATAACCCGCACATAGGAGAGAGGAGCTTACAACGGCGTTTCGGTCTCAACTGGACCATTTACAAAGACACACAGTGTGACTTTGTAAATGGTCCAAGTCAGACCGAAACATCATCGTCAGCTCCTCTCACCCATGTCTGGGTTATTTGTGTATTGTTCCAGTCATGGTATTGTGCCTTTATGTTATTCAGAGAACTTTCATGGCATGTATAAGTATGATAAAGCACCTAAATTACTGGTAACAGTTGAAGTCAATTTGTTTGTACTAGATGGACTGCAGGTGAGAAAGATACATGATAATATACATACACTTGGAAAATCCTAGAGGGAATAGTCCTAAATCTGTACACGAAAATCACTCCCTATGAAAGCAAAAGACTCGGCAGGAAATGCAACATCCCTCAATGAAAAGCAGGGGTGCCACGAGTATGCTAAGAGGCAACACAATAAGTGTCACGGGCCCAAGACTGTTCAACTGCCTTCCAGCATATATAAGGGAGATAACCAAGAGACCCCTTGCTATCTTCAAAAGGGCACCGGACAGGCACCTAAAGTCAGTACCTGACCAG